GTGATTTGTCCAGACAAGTGTAAAGACAGCACAAGTAAAATTCTAAATGTGTTATCAGCAATAGGTATTCAATGCATATTTACCGAAAAGTAAGAGAAAAATATTTTTATAAGTCAACATCAAAATATCAGAAATGATATTTTAAGATTGTTTAAAAAAAATTGGATGACAATAATTTGTCACAAAATGTTAAAATGTTAAAAGTCAACAAGTCAATAAATGGTAATGATATCATCATACTACTTAATTGACTTCAATGATTGCCAATGATGTCATCATTCTACTTAAATCACTTCAATGAGCGCCAGTGATATTGTCATACTACTTCAATGAGTAGCAATGATGTCATCATACTACTTAAAGCCCTTCAAATAGTGGCAATGATGTCATCATACTATTTAAATCATTTCAATGAGTGGCAGTGATATTGTCATACTACTTCATTGAGTGGCAATAATGTCATCATTCTATTTAAATCACTTGAATGAGTGACAGTGATATTGTCATACTACTTCATTCACTTCAATGAGTTGCAATAATATCATCATACTACCTAAATCACTTCAATGAGTGGAAGTGATATTGTCATACTACTTTAAACACTTCAATAAGTGGCAATGATGTCATCATACTACTTAAATCACTTCAATGAGTGGCAGGGATATTGTCATCCTACTTCAGTTAGTGGCAATAATGTCATCATACCACTTAAATCACTTCAATAAGTGGCAATAATGTCATCATACTACTTAAATCACTTCAATGAGTGGCAATAATGTCATCATACTACTTAAATCATTTCAATGAGTGGCAGTGATATTGTCATACTACTTCATTGAGTGGCAATAATGTCATCATTCTATTTAAATCACTTGAATGAGTGACAGTGATATTGTCATACTACTTCAATCACTTCAATGAGTTGCAATAATATCATCATACTACCTAAATCACTTCAATGAGTGGCAGGGATATTGTCATACTACTTCAGTTAGTGGCAATAATGTCATCATACCACTTAAATCACTTCAATAAGTGGCAATAATGTCATCATACTACTTAAATCACTTCAATGAGTGGCAATAATGTCATCATACTACTTAAATCACTTCAATAAGTGGCAATGATATCATCATACTACTTAAATCACTTCAATGAGTGGCAATGATGTCATCATTCTACTTAAATCACTTCAATGAGTGCCAGTGATATTGTCATACTACTTCAATGAGTGGCAATAATGTCATCATACTTCTTAAATCACTTCAATAAATGGTAATGATATCATCATTCTACTGAAAGCACTTCAATAAGTAGCAATGATGTCATCATACTACTTAAATCACTTCAATTAGTGGCAGTGATATTGTCATACTACTTCAATGAGTACCAATAATGTCATCATACCACTTAAATGCTTTGCGGCCGTTTTGAGATCTTAGGCATAAGCATTTTCTCCTGTTTGAATTCTTCACTGCAATTTGTGTTGCTGCTGACAGATGAGAAGTGCTTAGCTAGAATGTTGGCCTTTTCTTTGACTGTATGGGCGTTGGCTAACTTGGGAATTTTTGTGGGTTTACGCTTACCCCTGATTGCGTGTATTTTGCTCCAGACTGTTTTAGCATTTGTTTTCTCATTAAGGGATTTGCAGAAGGTCTGCCATGACTCTTTTTTCCTCCCTCTCTCTGGACCAAGGCTTATATAGCCAAGGTCACCTGACATTTCGTAAGTAATAAATATAAATGTAAACAGTAAATCATCAGTGACATACTTGCACATCTCGTTCAGGATGGCAGATGGTAGATGTACACAAAAATGGGGATTAACAAATAGGATTAGACTCTTATAAATAAGAGCAATTAAGTGTTTCAAGGCATATAGATGTCATGGCTCCAGGGTAATGAGCCTTTGCAATTAAATGTTCTTTAGACAGACAATGGGTGTTGTAAATCAGTCGCCATGACAAAACTGTGTGAGAGATTTTGCTGGTAAAGAAGGGATGAGTTTGTTGGTAGCCCCTGTTATACTTCTCCCCGCCTCCCTACTACTCACGCTGGGTATCCACTGAAAGGAGCACTAAATGTATGAGAAGTGATCACCCATGTCTCATCGAGGAATACAGGTTGAGAACCTTCCACCTTCATTTCTGAATTTTTATACAGGCTGTTCCTTAAATGTACATGTATACAGGACTTTTAAACATTATTGAGGGGTGTGGGGAAGGGATTCAGGCAGAATCTCATGCAAAATGTTACTAACCAATAACTGCCCAGATGTCCAGCATTGGGTTTGGATGTGTTAATCTTCTTTTATGTAAAAAAGATATATAAAAAAAGTTCTATGCGATGAATAAACAAAAGTACCCAAAGACATGAGTCTTTGGTAAACATTATTCTACTGTCCATTTATCAGTTTCATGTTATTTAAAATTAATTTTTCTTTTTATTGTTTATGTTTAAGCATAATTATTTGTTATGTACCATGTCAAAAACCAGAAGCAATTTATTACATTGTTGTTTTCTTCGTAGAAGCTTTATGGACAACAAACTGTTGCCAAGATTGACGGACAGTGAACTGTTGAAACTTGGAGGCTAGCCAAGCTTGACAGAAAATGAACTGCTGAAACATGGAGGCTAGCCAAGCTTGACAACACGAACTGTCGAACACATGTTGGTGTGACGTGAACCTTTACAAGTACCAAGCTATCAAAAAGTTTAATTACCTATACCCCTATAATCATGATGTTCAGGTCAACACTGCCCTGATGCTGTGCTTGACACAAAACAAATCACTTGTCATAACAGTCTCATTCACGACAAGCTTGGCATTGAAGGAACCCCACATGCAGTGTGAAAAATGGCTTCTGTTGTCTTTGATATAAGGATGGGAACACTATTTTCTTGTTCCAGTATGATACTGTCTTCCTATTCAGGGTTACAGGTTAGGGTGAAGTTTGCTGTCTTGGATACCATGTGCAGTCAATTGTTTCGCTTCTGGTAGTCTTGGCTGGAGTGTGCTCTTCACCACCCATATAAGAGCATCTATCTATTTCTGATTTCTTCCAGCCATTTTGCCAGAAAGTACAAGAAATTTTTGTGCTTAACTTTGTAGAAAGCTTCTGTCATTGTCAATTTTCTACTGTTATGAATTGACATTTTTTATAAACTTTAGCACCCTTCATGTGTCACTTTACAGTTATGTATACTCTCTGCAGCCATTCAACATTATATTGCATTAAATATGTGCTCACAATTATAGAAATGGTGGGGAAATTCAAATTTCAGAAATGGAGGGGCTGAACCCCACCCCCACCCTGGGGACTGAGGGGCGGGGCTAAAAATGTAATTTGGCAATATTGCTTTAAACGACTTTTTCTCTGCAACTAAGAGATGGACATCAACCATATTTGGTTGGAAGTATTCTCAGGTGATGGGCATTCACAATTGTACAAATGGAGGGGCTGAGGGGTGGGGCCAAAAAGAGTTTATAACTTGGACACAGTTAAGATCCCCACCGTATAACCATATGTACAATTGCTGAGTATAATGAGAGGAATGCACATATGCTACCAAGGACTGGCCCTTCTGTTCATCAGTCCAGCACTCCCAAAGGAGTTGGAGCCTTGATATTATCCCCACCCTAAAATACTTACATTTCATACATTTGTTTGTTATGAAGAGAATAATACATTTATGCCAATAGGAATTGCCCTGGGATCCAGCCTTGACTCTGGAAACCTAGATCCTGGATCATAACATGGAAACGGTTCAGATCTTTATGCTACATTTGTAACTAGAGAAATACACGTTCATGCTGTCAAATTTGCCATCCACCTATATTAAATGCTGACAGAGTCGAAATTACGAAATATTTGCAGTATTATATACATGTACAATGCAAATGTATATTTTGTCATGATTGTGTAAATAGCCAGGTGAGCGATACAGGCCCTAAGGGCCTCTTGTTTTGTTCTTCACTGAACTAAAGGCAATGAACCAACAGTGTGGTATAATTAGCTAAACTTCATTTCTGAATTGCACCAGATTGGGGCTATATGTTACCCTGAAGACTCTTGTTTCTTCTTTTGATGACGTCATATTATCGTCAAATCTTTAGAATTTACATTTTAGTCTTCAGTATTTATGCAGAAAATATTTGAATGTCAGTGCTGGCAGCAACTTTTAAGTGGCTGTTGTTTTTGACATTTTTAATTGTTGTCATCATGTCCAGGGGAGCTACAGTGCCATGCCACTATGTTTTTAAGTCAAAGATCTGTGACTCCACTTTCATACCGTCATTTAATAAATTGTGGAATTTATTACCCACTCAACAAGGGGATGTGGAAACCTGTTCTTGACAGTAATTAAGTTGTGACCTAGGTATATCAACATCTCTTCCAAACTTCTCATCTGTTCTCATTCAGCACTAAGGTATGGTGGTAGTGACTTTAATCAGGATTTATGGAAACATGGTATGAATGAGGGTCAGAATTCTTGATGTGATAACACATGTGAAATAAAAGTTACTTTTGCATATTTGTATGTGTATGCAAAATTAAATTAGATTTCACGTGTGTTGTCACATCATGTTTATAAATTAATAGGTTTGTGTCAGCCTTGTAAATGAAAACATTTTTTCTACCTTTTTTATTTATCATTTAATCTCATTAAAATAATTTGCATATGGGATTGTTTCATGTCACCTTACTTAATATAAGGGCCAGTCATGCTTATTGCAGGGACCAGCAGGGAATATCCAAATGACTGGACGAATTTGACAGGAATAGCATCTGCCACAAAACATTCTTCAGAGATTGAAATATTTATATCTGTTGTTTTAACCAAAGACGACAAATCAGTCACATATTTTATTATTCAGTTAGCAGTTTCCAAGTATGTTCATAAACAATAGTACAAATAGAATCTTAAAAAAAATACATGATGTTCATTGTAATTTGGATGAAATTCATGTCACTTGGCATTTGTGTTTTCAACTTCAAGCATCAGAGATACCAACTGTTCACATCTTTAACAACGAATCTGAAACAGCAGAAGGGCAGGTTCAAAACACTGCTCCAAGTAAATATGAACTGCACATGCTGGGGGAGAATGGCAAGGCTCAAACAGGCAGCAGTAATCGAACTGTTTCAGTGACCACCAAAAGAAAAGGTACATCAAATAATTGGTTAATATGTGGTTGTGTTGTAAAAGTGTGAGTGAGAGAATCCTTTTCTAGCTCACTTGATACGCATGTTTTAATTGTCAGATATCAGGAAATTATATTTCCATTGAAAGAATGTAACTTGACAAGTTGTTCAAGCTTTATATGTTTAGTTGTTTGAAACCAGTTTATATATAGTTTCCAAAATGCCACTGGAAAAGAGAAATACATCTTTTGATACAGATGTGATCAAAATACATTCTGACTGTACAATATGTTTGCATGCATGTATGTGTACTGTTAAAAATCCCCAACAACCTTCCATTCTCTAGAATCATTTCCTGCACCATTAATCAGTAGGTTGGCTGACATAAACAGGAGTAAACTGAGATAAGCCAGATGGCAGAAGTACAATTTTCCTGCAATTTGACAAGTAAAGTGTAGTGCTTTCACAAGGTGACACTAGTCACAATCTCATTAAAATCAAATCTTAGTTACCTAATTAGTTATGCTACCACTAAACATTCATCACAATATTGGTCACGTCAGAAACCTTTCATCCGACCAATCAGTGCATCGCTTACCAGATCAGGAAAGTGACAGTCGGACTGTGTTTTCTAATCAGGCAACCTAAAACAAAGTAAACAAAGGGCTTTTCGAATGAACGTTATGGACTGTACGACTGATTCTGTCAAAATGATCATCTATCTCTCGCTAATGGGAAGTTACTGCGTTACCATCTCGGCCATCTATTAGACATTCCCGACTTTTTTTTTTAAATTTTTAAATTTTGAATCAATGCTTTTCTAAGCATTGTCTGGAATGGAAGTCGACAATTTCAAACTAGTGCAGTAAAGCTCGAGAAAGCTGCTTTCTGATTGACTAATGTCAACTTCATGTTATTTAGTTCATTTGTTCAAATTTCACGAAGGTTGTTCTTACTTGACCTGTAATGGGATGTCCTAAGATATTTGTGTAGAGGTAGCGAGCACTAAGATCTGATTTTAATGAGGTTGCACTACTCATGAATACAGATTCTTTTTTCCTTCAGGGTTTTCATGTTTTGGTTATCTGATTGATAATGATCTCTGACTCTTCTGAACTATACTGTTTGATTTACTCTCAGTCTCATTAAAATTAGATCCTTTACTGACACCTTTCTGTGTGAAGATCCGAGGACATGTCCATAGGAGTTGAGCTTTTTGATTAGCAAATCAGTGTTGAGGCTTCTAAGTTCTTGGTACGAGTGAGGGAAGCATTTAAGCAAGCACATCAGAATCCTGTATCTCTGAATGTAAAGCTTTGCTAATGTATGGTTGTGAATATTTATGCATTCTGTGAAGATAGGTATTGGGAGTAAAATATTTGAATTTGGATTTACTGTGTGATATACAGGAGCAAGAATAGAGAGGTCTACCAGTCAGCCACGGACCAGTCTGCCACAGACTGTGGAGGCAGTTCAGGAGCAGGAACCAACAGGTATGAATGTCAGCACAATTTAGCTTATGAGTACCCAGGAGAACAGTTCCCCTGTCATAGCAGACAACAGCCAGACCACCAGCTTGTCAATGTACTTGTCAAAGCAGTATGTATATAGGATACACACTGTTCATTGGGAGATACCGTATATGACCGCAGATAAGCCGATCCCGTAGATAAGCCGAGGTATTAACTTTACCATTAAAATATGAAAGAAAATGATATGACCCGTAAATAAGCCGAACCAGGAAGTGAAAGGCAAAGACACATTGCGAAGTAGGACTGCAAGAGTGTTACGGTATTGGCAGATATTCAATAATATAAGATAAAAAACGTTGTAATTATATTGAAAAAGTCATTATAATTTCAAATAAAGATTTAACAAACGTATCAGCATATCAGCAATATTGTTGTTATGCAAGCTTAATAATTGAGGAAACCCCAAATTGATGCAGCTCTGAGACACTTTATCACTATTGATAATCTTATATCACCTGGGCCACCTGTTCCCCTTTGTGCCCCATAAGTGATAAAGTTTGACCCAGATTTGCATATAACTCAACATTGATCAGTACTTATATTTTTATTTCATTGTTGACATCTGACACATTTGGATAAAGATACAAATCCGTCAATTCCTATCATTCCATATCTCCCAAACTGTAGTGTTTAGGGGTCCTTACTGTTCTGTTAATGACAAGTCCAATTCCTTGTCTGAGCTTCAATGGAGTCTAGCAAATCAGATTCTCCTGCCTGACGGTTCTTAGAGAATATCGTTATGATGCCTGATGTTCATGACCCTGTCTTGTTATGAGATCAAAGTACACTGACTCTGTGATGTTTCTGTGGCAGATAAATCTGGGAGTGATTTGTATGAAGCAATACCATTGAAAACAGAAGGATCTTATACGACCAACAGTACTTTAGATCTGAATGAACAAACCTACAGGAAACAGATTGCCAGTCCAGAAGATGGAACAGGGGAAGATGATGGGGAACTGGCAGCCAATGTAGCTGAGCACACAAGAGAAAGTGTTTCTTGGCACAAATACAAAAAACAGAATCCACAAAATACCTCACAAACCAACATGTCCGATTCTCACCACAAGTCAAAGAAGCAGGATGAGGATACCTCTGGCCATTTTGTGACTAAATCTTCAAAGATGAAAGATAGTTCTACACAAACAGAGGGTTATTTTGGTGTCGGTGAGAGTGGAATATATTTCCAAGAGGTCCATGGACCCTATATCCAGTGCGGTCCAAACAACAGTATTGTCAACATAGAAGTAAACAAGGACTTCTTATCAACTGTAAAGGAGGCTGGTGTTCTAACAGGTAGGGTGCCAGTATATGTCTGTGATTTTACTAAATACCCTTGTTGCTGACTTACTTATTTTGTGGTTCTTGGTAATTTGTTATTAATACTTCCTTTTCATATGTATTTTGTATTTTCATAACAGTGAGAGATGCCACTAAACCACTGCTCAGCTGCACATGGAAGGGAAATGACGAAAAGGGGAATGAGGCAGTTAAGGCTGTGAAATCATTGTGGACACTACAGTTGAAGGAACTGTTTGAGAGCATGTATGGACAAGTACTGTCACATTTTTCACACAACCTCTTTTCGCCTCTCAGGGAATTAATTGTGGATATTTTCAAAAAGTATGACGCCAAACTGACTGGAATCTTCAGTGGCTCTCTTCTGTTTGTGTTCTGGCATGCTGATGAAGAGTCAGCACAGAGCATGGTTGCTGGCAAGGAGGTGGTGCGGGAGATGTTCCATCAGCTGCTGTTGGGTATGGGCAAGGGGGAAATAGAGTTCACGCTTGATGCAGCTGTAGATACGAGTGACAGTATGGAGGCTGCAGCAAGTGGCAAAGTAGGTGGTGGTGAAGAGGTTGATGCTGATCCTCTGGCAAGTCTCCCTCTCGACTTTGATCCTCTGATAAAGACGTTGAAGTCAAGCATGTGAGTACCTGTATTTCATGTTCTAGTTCAAAATGTCATTTGCATCTCAGTTTAGGATAATGTTCAATAGGACAGGCTTTGGGCACATTTAGACACCTAATATTTGCATGACTTTGTGTTGTGATTCTTTTATCAAGGAGATATTGACGCCGGAAATATTAAAGAAGGTGTCTACGGTCCCTCTGTCTGTCCTTTACGACCTCAGTTCGTTGGATGTAGGGAGGTGATTCACGACAAAATATAATCAAGTTTCAACAGTTTATAACAGAAAAATAAAAAAACGGAAAAAACCAACTGTTACAAAATAAAATACAAACTCAACAACAATTACAAATCAGTCAATCCTATTCCTAACTAAAATTTACATTATTAAGCCAAAAATCCTACTTGAGACTGACTGAGATTGATATGGATCGTATTTCAGTATATCATAGCTTGACTTTTACATGTATATCTCATGTTTTAAGATAATATTAAACATTAACCTTTTTCTGGCATCTGAATTGAATATAATTCAATAATCACCATAACTTGTTGTCATCAATGCTTCATTATCATCGCCCCCCCCAAAAAAAAAAATTAGCGGGGGATATAGAAACGGGCTCTGTCCATCCGTCCGTCCGTCCGTCACGTTTCGTTTCCGGAGCATAACTCAGAAACCGTTCAATATTTTTTCATGAAACTTTGCAGGTCTGTCAAGTACATGCTGAACTGGTGCCTTTTGCTATTTAGAAATTTTAGAAATTTTTATTTTTACGTTTGCATGGCAACAAGATGGACTTAGGTTCTGTGTGGGTAGAGTTCGTTTCCGGAGCATAACTCATAAACTGTTCAATATTTTTTCATCAAACTTTGCTGGTCTGTCAGGGACATGCTGAACTGGTGCCTTTTGCTATTTAGAAATTTTAGAAATTTTAATTTTTTACGTTTTCCATGGCAACAAGATGGACTTAGGATCTGTGAGGATAGAGTTCGTTTCCGGAGCATAATTCATAAACCATTCGATATTTTTTCATCAAACTTTGCAGGTCTGTCAAGTACATGCTGAACTGGTGCCTTTTGCTATTTAGAAATTTTAGACATTTTTATTTCTTACGTTTCCTTTGCAACAAGATTGACTTAGGATCTGTGAGGGTAGGGTTCGTTTCCGGAGCATAACTCATAAACCGTTCAATATCTTTTCATCAAACTTTGAAAGTCTGTCAGGTACATGCTGAACTGGTGCCTTTTGCCATTTAGAAATTTTAGAAATTTTTATTTTTTACATTGCAACAAGATGGACTCTTCTTTTTTTTACAATTTCCATGACAAGTTCCACCTCTGTTAAAAAAGGTTAGGGTTTGTTTAGATTTTTTATGTCATAAATTCTGCAACAGGGGCGGGGGATATAGCCACATTAGTGGCAAACTCTTGTTTAGTATAACCCAACACTTGTGTCTTTTACCGTTATTCACTTGATGCTCAATTTAATGACTTTATTACATGTTTAATTGGTGGTAGCACCACTCAGTCCTTCAGAGTACCTTACAAAGCTTATGGACATATCATGTTCATAACTTAAACTGGTATTTGTCCTACCTCTGTGTGTTTATTAGGAAGATGGTGTTTTGGATATATATAGCAATCAGTAAGTAGCATTTGGCATTTCTCTTGTCTGGGGTAATTTTTCAATTTCAGATTGGGTTATAAATCCAGGTCTGATATGATCATGATGATATTACATGTTATGTAACATGAAGGTGGCAGTGCAGCAGAGAAGAAGATGAGTTGAGTTGCCGAAAAATTGATCAAAGGGTTTTTAGCGTAATGACATGTTTTATGAACAAAAGTCTGTTGTCATGTGCCACACACAAGCCAAAAATCCTACTTACTTATACCTTAAGAATAAAACTCAGAAGCAGCCTAAAGCAGACGGACAAACCCCTAACTAACCCACTTTAATAAATAATCCCTACAGCATCCTTAACACAGTCTACGAGGACAAACAAACCACCCTTCCAAACCTCCTAACACAATCGGTCAATGTAGCTACATCACATAGCTTACATTATTTCCTAATTAAATCCACTCATCCAACCCACCTTTATAACAGTTTACCCATGAATTCTAAAGTTGCCACATAATTTAGGTCTTTATTGCCTAAAATCACTAGGGATTGGGGAATTGTTCGACCTCCGAACACGGTAATTTGGTGTGGTCTCCCTCACCTGTGGTGATCTTCCCGATCATGCAAGACAATGAGAGCATTCGCGCCAATCACTTATATACTCGCAAGGACACGTAACCTCTGGGTCAACACACATAAACGGTGCAGCCACTTGCTAATCCAATCTGTCACCAACCAATCGGAGCGCTCTTACCATACGACCCACGACTGAAAACACTAAATCGGCATGCCACCGACAAACGCACGTGGGGCAAGATCTGAACGTGCTGTCCAAAGCGAACTACATATCGGTAAGGAGCTATTAACCACATAAATGCTACCATCTATCCTACATAATCAGAGGAAATTTCAATATTTCTACACATAGTTTGTAGATAAGTATGACATTGCATGGCTTGTCCTGGCAAGTGTCTCGATAACTCACCACAGAATTCAGATCATATTTTAAAGTAGCAACAGGCTCTAGTATCTTCCCTGTTGTCCGACTTTGCCTACTAAGGTTCATCAGCTGACTGAGGCAACTGAGCGCGATGAGGGACTGGGCTACCATCTGTAAGGACTGCTGATATAGACTTTGAGACAATGTCTGAACACTGATTGCTTATTGTATGATCTATGAAAAGTTCAGTATTACAAGAGGGTGCATGTAAATGAGCTTCTTCACAGTAAACCAACAGAAAGAATGGTGGAGGCTTATTGTTTGATAACAAGGTGTACCTGCCGTGAAATTGAGTTAGGGTTTCTGATTGTTTGGGTGACATGATGACTGAGATTGATATGGATCGCATTTCAGTATATCATAGCTTGACTTTTACATGTATATCTCATGTTTTAAGATAATATTAAACATTAACCTTTTTCTGGCATCTGAATTGAATATAATTCAATAATCACCATAACTTGTTGTCATCAATGCTTCATTATCATCCCCCCCCCCCAACAAAAATGGCGGGGGATATAGAAACGGGCTCTGTCCGTCCGTCCGTCCGTCCGTCACGTTTCGTTTCCGGAGCATAACTCAGAAACCGTTCAATATTTTTTCATGAAACTTTGCAGGTCTGTCAAGTACATGCTGAACTGGTGCCTTTTGCTATTTAGAAATTTTAGAAATTTTAATTTTTACGTTTCCATGGCAACAAGATGGACTTAGATTCTGTGAGGGTAGAGTTCGTTTCCGGAGCATAACTCATAAACTGTTCAATATTTTTTCATCAAAATTTGCAGGTCTGTCAGGTACATGCTGAACTGGTGCCTTTTGCTATTTAAAAATTTTAGAAATTTTTTATTTTTTACGTTTCTTTGGCAACAAGATGGACTTAGGATCTGTGAGGGTAGAGATCGTTTCCGGAGCATAATTCATAAACCATTCGATATTTTTTCATCAAACTTTGCAGGTCTGTCAAGTACATGCTGAACTGGTGCCTTTTGCTATTTAGAAATTTTTGAAATTTTAATTTTTTACGTTTTCCATGGCAACAAGATGGACTTAGGTTCTGTGTGGGTAGAGTTTGTTTCTGGAGCATAACTCATAAACTGTTCAATATTTTTTCATCAAACTTTGAAAGTGTGTCAGGTACATGCTGAACTGGTGCCTTTTGCTATTTAGAAATTTAGAAATTTTTATTTTTTATGTTTCCTTGGCAACAAGATTGACTTAGGATCTGTGAGGGTAGGGTTCGTTTCCGGAGCATAACTCATAAACCGTTCAATATCTTTTCATCAAACTTTGAAAGTCTGTCAGGTACATGCTGAACTGGTGCCTTTTGCCATTTAGAAATTTTAGAAATTTTTATTTTTTACATTGCAACAAGATGGACTCTTCTTTTTTTTACAATTTCCATGACAAGTTCCACCTCTGTTAAAAAAGGTTAGGGTTTGTTTAGATTTTTTATGTCATAAATTCTGCAACAGGGGCGGGGGATATAGCCACATTAGTGGCAAACTCTTGTTTAGTATAACCCAACACTTGTGTCTTTGTCGTTATTCACTTGATGCTCAATTTAATGACTTTATTACATGTTTAATTGGTGGTAGCACCACTCAGTCCTTCAGAGTACCTTACAAAGCTTATGGACATATCAAGTTCATAACTTAAACTGGTATTTGTCCTACCTCTGTGTGTTTATTAGGAAGATGGTGTTTTGGATATATATAGCAATCAGTAAGTAGCATTTGGCATTTCTCTTGTCTGGGGTAATTTTTCAATTTCAGATTGGGTTATAAATCCAGGTCTGATATGATATTACATGTTATGTAACATGAAGGTGGCAGTGCAGCAGAGAAGAATGATGAGTTGAGTTGCCAAAAAATTGATCAAAGGGTTTTTAGCGTAATGACATGTTTTATGAACAAAAGTCTGTTGTCATGTGCCACACAATGCCAACAAACAATGTGACCAACAATCAGTCAGATCACCAATCAAAATGAGAGTATGTGATCAAAATTGAAACATATAAAAACATGAAGACAAAGTCATTGTGAAAAAAATTCATCTCTCAGAAGTATGTATGTGTTCCATGTGATGCGATCACAACCTGGCATCGCTGTGTCATGTCTGGATGGTTGCCCAGGGAAGATTGTTCCACGAGTTTCTGTAGAGTTGACAGAAGGACAGGGAATTGTGAGAGGGTGATCTACAGCTCATTCTATATATGTGTGTGTGTCTGTCTGTCTGTGTGTGTGTCTGTCAGTGTGTCTGTCTGTCCTGTCCTGTCCTGTTCAATTGGGTTGAGGTCTGGTGAATGGGGTGGCCACGATGAGGTCATGCGTTATCATCCATGAGGATAAAGCCCAATCTGATTGCACAAGCATACAGGCTAGCTAACACATCCAG